ATATATATATATATATATAAGAAATAAAGAGTTGCAAAACCAAAAAAAAGGATCTAGAGTCAAGCCTTTGACTCCTATACAGTGATAATATGAATCTCTTCCGTGTGCGGTGCCCAATATATATATTTTTTCCGTTTCGTCTGCTGACTCTCTGCATCACTGCTAGTTTCACTTCTGGTGGTCTTAAATCACCCGCACCTCTCTTTCTCTCTCTGTAGGAGGAAAGGACCTAAAAAGGAAAGGAGACGCACCATGGACGTACCCGCAAGTACTGTCGAGGTCACCACCGTGCTATCGCAGTGTGCAGAGTCAAAGGTGTACGAGTGCAACTTCTACAACTACCGTGCTGTTTGTAAGCATCGTTTCCCCAAGATGTATCGTCATCCAGTCCTCGACCACAAACTGCGGGAGCAGCGGACAGTGCGGGAGGCGCGGGCGCTCGTGCGGTGCCGCAAGCACGGTGTGGAGGCCCCAACTGTCTTCGCCGTCGACCGCGATCGGTGTGCGATTGTGATGGAGCGCATTGACGGTCTCATGGTGCGCGATGTTCTCAACAATGAACAGGGGGGCGTCTCCGCATTGGCTGAGCGGCTGCTGCGAGGGATGGGCGAGGTGGTTGGCCTGCTGCACAGCGCCGACATCATTCACGGCGACCTGACGACATCGAACTTCATGTGCCGGGGGCAACACCTGGATAAGGAGGAAGGGCGCGAGCACCAGCAGCGGGGGCAGGTGCCACAGATGTTTGTGAGAGGTCTTGCTGCGGGGACGTCGTGTCGAGAAGGCCTCGTTGTTCTCGATTTCGGACTTGTGGTGGACAAAAACAGTGCGGAGGAGCGTGCGGTGGACCTGTACGTTCTCGAGCGTGCGATTAAGTCGTCGCACCCATTCCTCGAGCACGTGGCGTCGTCGCTCGTCCTCGACGGGTACCACCGCACCATTGACGTGCACAAGGGCGCCGCAACCGTTGCGCGGTTGGAGGCGGTGCGGGCCCGTGGCCGCAAGCGGAGCATGGTTGGGTAGCGTGCAACGCCGTACCTTCGTTTATCGCTCGCCCTCTTTTGGTCCGCCCTGTGTCTTGCGACCTTATTTCTCTGTTGTATGGTCTCTCACTGTGTGAGTTCCGAATGTTGCTGTGTTTTCCCTCTTTCTTTTGGTTTTATTGCTCTATCTCCCGCACTTGCGTAGGTGTTTTCATTGAGTGGGGGGAGGGAGGCGGTGCACACACACACCTGCGTGTTCCCCGTGCAGGCGGGAAAGAATAGAAGACATACGCATAGAAATGCGGTGCGGCACGCCGGGTGGGCGGCCCACCACTCCAATACCGCGGAAGCCCCGGCCGCCACTGCTGTTGCACTCACGCAAAAATGAGGCTTCTCCTGTTCCACAGCGGCGGAGCTCCGTCACATGTGGCGCAGTATCGCCAACGAAGGCGGTCGTGTTCAAGCGGATTCATCAGCCGGTGGTGGAGAGCGCGGCGCTGCCAGAAGACACCCTTCGCGCACTCCGCCACACACGCAGCCTGTTCCTTTGCTGCCGTGACCTCCTCTCCTTTAGCCACATCCGCTACCTAGAGCATATGACGCAAATTTCCTCTCTGAACGTTCATATGAACTCTATTTCCCGCATAGAGTGCCTGGGCCATTTGCAGCACCTCACAGAGCTTGACGTCAGCGCCAACGAGTTGCGGGCCGTGGATGAAGATGCGTTCAAAGGGCTGCACCAGCTGAAACGTCTCAACCTGTCGAGCAACTTTTTGACAACCGTCAGCGGCTTCCAGCACCTTCCGGCACTGGAGTGGCTTTCACTTAGTTTCAACGAGCTCCAGAGTGTGCAGGGACTGCGACGGCTGCCGTGTCCGCAGGAGCTTCTCCACTTGGATATTTGCGGGAACAGAATAGCGACATTAGCAGAGCTGGAGGATTCACTGGAAAACTGCCGGTGCCTTCAAGACCTTCGCGTGGAAACACCAAAGGCGGCGTTGGTATTGCCGACGATGCCACCACAACTTCAGCTGCGGGAAAATCCTTTTTGCGCCGCGGAACCGAACTACGCAGAGCGGCTTCTGCAGCGGATGCAACGACTAGTCCTTTTGAACGGCGTGCCGTGTGGCTGCGATCCCACCGCGGACGCACTCCAAAGGCGCCACACCGCATCAGCCAGCCGCGACGAATCGCTTGAGCGCCGTCCTCTTGACTTCACGTCGTCCATCGTCATTACCGCCCCGCACGTGGCTCCGTGCAAGGATGTATTGGTAAACACATACGCTATAGATGAAAGCGTGGCGTGCGCAGCGAGCTCCACCACTGGCGCCAGCAGCAGCAGCAACAACACCAGCGGCGCCTGTCCTTCTTCTCCGCAGTGGCGCGAAAAGCACGTCTCGCGTGGTGTTGTCACAGAGGTGTCGATCCCCCCATACAAGGAGCTTCTTCACGTGGCGGGCGTCGAGGAGGCGGTGAGACAGAAAGAGCTACAGGCCAAGGATGAGCTTATTGAGCACCTCGAATTGAAGTTCATGCGAGCGCAAGAGCAGTTGGCGCTCCGTGCGGCACTGGAAGAGGACCTGCGCCGTAATTTCGAGGATGTGCGTCAGACTCACGCCACTCTTCTGGAGACTTCTGCAGAGGAAAAGAAGCGACTGTGTCGGCAGGTGGCAGCATTGAAAGATGAGCTCTCGCGTCGCTCAGAAGAGGCTGCTATCCTTCAGCGAAGGAATCGAGTGGAACTTGAAGAACAGACCAACGCACTGCGGGCAGAACTGGTGCGGCAGAAGAAGGAAACTGCTGCTGCGGTGCGGCGCATGGGCGACGAGGTCTCGCGGGCGCGCAAGACGGCGCATGAGCGGGTGACGGAGCTAGACACAAAGCTTCATGATGCCGTCCGACAGAATGAGTGGTTGGAGCAGCAAAATGAAAAGGCAGAGGCCTACGTAAATAAGTGGAAGAGTGAGTCGCAGAGCGAAAGGGCTGCGCTGCTGGCGTGTGAGAGACGGCTTCACCTGTTTGGGGAGCAGCACCACCTGCAGTTAGAAGAGTTGGCAGCGCGGCGTCAGTTGGAGTCCGTGGCGTGTAGCAACATTCTTGCCGCCGCCGCTGTGCATATCGGTGTGCTGCGTCGCGAGGGCGACTCGTTGCATCTTCGCTGGCGCAATCACCAGCGAGCCTGGGAGGAGTACACTGCCGCCCTGCAGCAGCACTATCAGGAGGCGCTGCTGAAGCTGCAAATGGTGCAGATGGCGCCCCCGGTGCGTGTGGACGTCGGCTGTGACCCCATTGACGCGCACGCCCATTGCGCGGAGGAGGCGGAAGTGCAGCGGCTGCAGACTGCGCTGTCGGTTGCCCAGCAGTCGGAGCAGCTGCTCTCCCGCGAGAATGATCGGCTGTTGGTGTGCGTGGGCAACAAGGAGCGCGAGCTGGCCGAGGCGGCGCAGCAATTGCAGGAGTCGGAGGGGGCGGCGCGGACGGTGAGGGAAGCCCTGGAGCGCGAGCGCGACAACCTCGTCCGCACGCTCCACAACCTGCGCGGGTCGATTGAAAAGAAAAATGCGGCGTTCGATGAACTGGAGGCCGAGGCAAAGCTAAAGATCGACGAAAAGCGGTCCATCATCGCCCGACTGGAGGCGCGCCTCGATGACGAAGAAGACGCGGCGGCTAAGAAACTTCGGCGCGCGGAGGAGGATCTGNGGCGCCTCAAGACGGAGCTACACGCTGCCCAGCAGGCACGAGCCGAAGAGACGTCACCGTCCCAACCACAGCAACATCAGCTGACGGAGCTACTGAGTGCGCTTGAGGACTCCAAGCAAAAGCTCGCCGCTTCTATGGTGCGTGAACACCAGCAGTCCCTAAAGCTGGGTCGTGCTGCAGAAGCCTTGTCACTTCTCCGCGGCCAGCTGGCACGCGTTGATGAGGCGAACTCGCGTCTGACGAAGGTGATCAGTGAGAAAGAGGCTGCACTGTGCAGCGCAGAGACAGAGCGGCGCCAGCTACAGGCTCAGTGGCAGGAGGCGCAGGAGGCCACGCGTGTGCGGCAGCGTGCGACGTTGCAGGCGTTATCGCAGATCATGATGGACGGCAACGACGGTGAAGCGTGACGCACACACATCCACACCGCTGTGAAAGTGCGGCGAAGTACAGTCCGCTGTGTGGTATTCGCTTCCCCCCCACTGCCACCTTTGCCTTTCCTCCCTCCCGTTGTGGTGACGCCGCACGCCATCCATAGAGTGGACCACAAGTGCGCATACATCTGTGTGTGGGTGCTTGGGTGAGTGCCAAAGGGCCGTTTTGTCGCTTCATCCATCGATGCTACTCGAGGAAGAAGGAAGCGAAAAGCAAAAAAAAAACGATTGCGCATTGAACTGAGTGACACGAGCGTTATGCGATGTCGGAAAAACGAATATCTAAACGGCTTTTACTACATATATTTTTCTTGTTTGCTTTGTCGTTTGTTTCGCGTTTCTCTTTTCTGTGTGGTGTAGTAGTAAGATCGCCATCGCCGGCATGCGACGCCTCGGCGGCGGCGTCGCGCTCACGGGCGCTAATGCAGCGGCAGACGCCAATGCAGCAGCGCTGACAGTGGCGTGCCGCGGCCGCTTCTACCGGCCGCTGGTGAACCAAGGCATTAATCTCTGGCGCAGCCGAATGGGTCGCCTCCACAAAGGATGGAATACGTGGGAGTATCAGCACACGCAGCCGGACCCACGACCCTTCCCTGAGACCGCCGTTAACGACTACTACGGCCGCTCCCGTATATGGAACCCCATTGCCGGCAAGATGGGCTACGTGAACAAGAAGGCAGAGGAGTGGGGGTGGCCGCATCAGCGCCCACCACCGACAGGACTGCGGCGGTCGCAGGAGTATTTCCCTCACTTCTTTGCGCGGTACTTCCCGGACGCGGAGGTGCGGCTCGTGATGGACAGCGTTCTGAACAACGAGACGACAAGGCCAGTGTTCCACATACCGTGTGACATGTCCAAGGTGGAGTTTGTCAACTATCTCAAAAATATCTACGGCGTGGACAATGTTGTGCGCATCAAGGTGAGAAATGCGCGAGGCCGCCGCTACAAAAACGAGGTGGGTGAGATTAAAATGATGGACGACTACAAAATCGCGGTCGTCGAGTTGGACTCTCCCGTTTCCGTGGAGTTTAAGCAGATCAAGGGCACTGAGGACACTCCTGACAATAGACCACAGACGCAGATTAGCGGATGATGAAAAGAGTGGTGGTGCGGTGGGCGGGTGAGGCGATTGCTCTGCGGAGTTCTTGTGTGGGTGCGTCATCCATTGATGTGTCGTAGACACCGGCTGAGATGGGCTTTTTTGTAGTGGGGCACGGGGAGTGCAACTCCGCCTTCAGCTTTGTATCCACCCTCATGGTATTGTGCTTCATTTTGTTTGCTCCCTTCTCTCTTTTCCCTTGAGTAGTGATGCAAGGATGAACGCAGAAGCACTCGGTGCGTCGTCGCGTGACGGCGCAGCGGAGGGTGCCGCGGCATTGACCGGCGGCTCAGACACCTGGAGCACATGTGCGGTATTAACGAACCGGCTTCGCCTGCTGCAGCTGTGCGGGAAGGTCATAGACACACAGCTTGACGAACTGAGGAAGCGGTGCAACGAGGTGACACGGCGAGATGCGGATGATAGTTGGGAGAGCAACGGCTTCTCGGGCGCGGCACCTGCAAACGCGGTGAGGAACGGTAACGGTAGCGCAGCGGCATCCGCAGAGCCTCTGTCGTCTCCCTCTTATTTATTGTCTTCTGCTCATGTGAAGACCGCGACGCGTTTTTCACCGCCGTGGCGTGGTAGTCCACAGCCGACTGTTCGCTTCCAGAGGCCGCGCGACGAGCTCACCAGCGGCGCAGCAGAATGGCAGGAGGCGAACGGCAAGCGGGACTCGCCCTCACCGCCCATCATCGTTATTGAGGTGGGGAACTCGGACAGAGCCGCGTCGCACTCGACTCCACGCGGTCAGGTCTCTTCGGAAGCTGCTGGTGAGATCAATTCAGGAACAAGGGGGACTGTTCAGGGCTCGAAGCTATTGTCAGATGTTGTTGCGACGACTCTCTCACCTGAAGGAAATAGAATGAGCAATAAGCGGGATGCACACATCTCCTTCATTCTGGATCATATACAGCAACTGAATGTGCCAGCGCGGCGCGCGTCGCCAGCAGCTGACTTCTTCAGACGGATTCGCGATGAAGCGAGGACTCTTTCAGAACCAGAAGATGACAGAGCCACCATATCGAATGGGAACTGCATTCCATCGGTGGCACCAGCCGAGTGGAGTGTGAACGCCCAATATAAAAATGAATTGCGGCAGCAGCATTTAGCTTTGTCTCGTGAGACACCCGTAGAGGGTGGGGTATCCGCTGCCGCCCCAACCGCCAGCGGTACGGCACCCATGCCGATGCCCTCCCTGCCGCGAAAGCCTCCGTCACCACCATCTGCTCGTGTCGGTGGGTCCTCTCCCACACCCTCACCCCCCGCTGTGGACTATGACAAAAAGGCACAGGAGGCACTTCTGAGTGGGTTGTGGAAGGAAACCAAGGATAAAAAGGGAAGAGTTTACTACTACAGCTCCAAGGAGAAAAGGTCGTGCTGGAATTTGGCGAAGGAGCTCCGTCTCTTGGCGGGAAACCGCGGTACATGAGTTTCAAGGGGGTGTGAGGGTCGAGCACAAACTCTCGGTGTATGCACGATTCTCGTTATAATATTTGTGGTTGATCCTTCGGGCCTAATGGAGGTGTTGCAATGCAGCAGTTGTCTCTCACTCCCTGTTTTTTTTTTTTTTACTTCTCGTGTGTCTTCGCGACAAAAAGTCTGCGTTTTTTTTTTTAATACGAAGGAAGAAGCCAAGTCGACTATGTCCTACAAGCCCCACCACGCTACCGTGCCCACCAACCCGAAGGTTTACTTCGACATCAGCATTGGCGGTCAGTCCGCCGGTCGCATCACCTTCGAGCTGTTTGCTGACGCCGTCCCCAAGACGGCTGAGAACTTCCGCGCACTCTGCACGGGCGAGAAGAACTTTGGCTACGCCGGCAGCGGCTTCCACCGTGTTATCCCCGAGTTCATGTGCCAGGGTGGTGACTTCACCAACCACAACGGCACTGGCGGCAAGTCGATCTACGGTGAGAAGTTTGCTGATGAATCGTTTGCTGGCAAGGCTGGGAAGCACTTTGGCCTCGGAACGCTGTCTATGGCGAACGCTGGCCCAAACACGAATGGCTCTCAGTTCTTCATCTGCACTGCGCCCACGGACTGGCTGAACGGCAAGCACGTCGTCTTCGGTCAGGTGCTGGAGGGCATTGACGTCATCAAGGCCATGGAGGCTGTTGGCTCTTCGACGGGCAAGACCAGCAAGACGGTGAAGATTGAGGCCTCCGGCCAGCTCTAAGCACGTCGTTTTGCAGGGATTTGAATAGAGAAAATAAAAGGTAAATGAGAAGGCGTATGATGATCGCCGAACTGAAAGGAAAGAAAAAGATTATTTAAAGGAGAAAAAGGAGGGGGGTGTGGGGCAAACCACGTAAGCGCATGAGAATCGGAAATACACAAATAAAGGTAGACAGTTTCATGGTTATAAGAGCTTGTTTGGGCTTCGGCGTTGGCTGGGCTCGATGCGCCTGGGCTGGTTGGGATGACAGCTGGTCAGCTTTCTCTTCTTTTTTTTGGGGGGGGGTCCCTTTGTTTTGTTTCTTCCTTCAACAAAATGCAGCTGCCTCGTTCATTCAAGAAACCGTCGGTTTGTAAACCGCTACGAGTGTGTGAGGGCAAGACAGAAAGAAAAAAAAAGGGAAATAAGGATTCCAATTTAGGGCTCCTAAATAAATCAAGAAGGCAAAAGAGGGGCACTCCAACGTCGGGGTGGAACCAAAAAGGAGTGTTCAGTGAGCCGGATTTTCATGATGCAGCAGCGCTCCTCAGCTTTGCGCTTTTTGCACGTTAGTCGAACCTCCGGTGTCCCTTTCCAATGTAAGCACCGCTATTCGTCAACGTTGGTGAATGTTCCGTCACATGGAGCTGGTGCGGGCTTGTTGGCCTCTCAGCAGCAGCCGAGGCCGCATTCATTCTGTGCAATGGTGGCAGACTCGTTTCGCAGCGAGGCTGGGAAGACGCTGCGACACGGCGTCTCTGAAGTAGTCATGCCACCCATTGGCACGTCACAATCGTTTGGCTTGGGGATCCGCTGCTATGAAGACGCTGATGTGTTGGAGAAGACAGAGATTTGGCTGCGCAATTTGCTGAAGAGGTGTATCGAGACGCCCTCCACAGAGTTATATGAGAGCCTCGTTGCCGCAACCGCAGAAGCCTACAAGATATCACCGTCATGTCATTGGCGGCTGCACAGTCGTGCACTGGCAAACTATGGTGTGCAGTGCTTTGTTGACCAAAAAGTCGCTCGGGCGGTTGAATTGCTTCGCCAAGCTGTTGAAGTCATTGTGTTGTTTGAGGGGGAGACAGCCACGCTACACCTGCGTGTGATGCTGGCAAACGCCCTCGCATGTGAAGGAGAATGCTTTGCTGCGCTGCGCCAGTACGAATGTGCCCTGGCGGTAATGCGCGACTACCCAGTGGAGACATCACTGAGCCAGATTGTCTCTGGAAAAGAGCCCCGCATGCCCCTTAGCCGAAGCTACGTGACGGAGGACTTTGATCGCTTCATTGCAAATGAGGTGGTGGTGTCACAGGCAATGAGCCAAGGAGAGCAGCAGTTGCGTTCTTCAGAGGACAATTTGGAGAAAGTTCGCATCACTTTAGCAATGGCCCGCCTCCAGCGACGGCTAGGTGAAAAAGATGCGAGCCTGCCTCTCTACACGTCGGCGCTACGCACCCTGCTTGATGCTCCCGATGTCGATATGGAGATAGAGGTAGTGCATGACATTGGTCTGATGCTCTGCTTTGAGGCTTTTGACGTGGCGCAGGGCCTGCCGTACCTGCAGGCAGCTGCAGAGATGTCCCTCAACAGGGCACGGGGAGAGTCAGAGAAAATTCAGCGTTGCACTGCCCCCTCGGCGCGCCGAGACGCATTACCAGACGGAGTTCTCCGCATTCGCCACGCGGCCTTTGCGCTGCTTGACACGGCAGTGTGCCTTGCTGAAAACGATGAAGTGGGAAAGGCGCTGGGGCTCTTTGAAGAGAGCATCGCGCAGATGGGCGAGTGTGGGATGGAGAAGCACTCTGCATGGGCGCGCATGAAGTTTGCGGATGCCCTCGCAGCCGCATCCCTTGTCGATAAGGCTATCCGTGTTTACCTTGAGGCTATGGACACGATTCGGTCCATTGGGTGTGGTGAGGAGAACCTCCAGGTGGCGTGCATGGGTATGATAGTCCCGCTGACGCTGGCTGAAGTGGAGGGTCGTCTCGCGCACTGCTTTCAGATGCACGTTGGTGAGTATCGACGCGCCTGTGTGCACTTCTGGCAGGCGATTCGACGGTGCGGGGTGTATGTGGGCTGCCCGTTCAGATCTGCAGAAGAAACAGACGTCACACTTCAGGAGGAGGTTGACTCAGAGATGCTTTGTTGGATGTTAGAAAACTACGCAAGTTGCTGTGAGCGTACCGGCAATATTGAAGTTGCAGAGGAGGTTCTAGAACGCTGTGTTAGCGTTGAAAAATCACTTGGAGGGTCTTGTGTGTCAGTGCTGCTGCGCCTTGCGCAACTGCAGAGTGCCACCAACGCAACGAGGGCACTGCAGCTTTACATCCAGCTGCTCGGAATGCCAGAGGATGTGCTGGAGCCTGACGCGTTGCTGCAGTCAGCATACGGCTTCGCCGATGTCTGCTACACAAGCAAAGATGAGGACATGGAGGCAGCACTCGCAAAAGCGGCGGTACCAGAGAAGAGCGAAGCGAGCGAAAGTGCCGCCTCCGTGCCTGCCATGACCGCAGCGAATGATACCAATGCCATCATTATTGAATCCTTTAAGAAGGCGGCTAGCGTCATCATGGCAGCCCATGCTGTGGACAAGGTGAAGTCAAGAGCTAGTTGTGATGACGAGTTGAAGGCGCTCATGACACTCAGTCGCGGTGGTTTCTTTTGCCAGCGGCGTGGTGATGAAAGGGGAGCGGAAGAACTGTACCGACTCGCCGTGGAATACACGCAGCTCGCCCATGTCACTAGTGAGGAATACTCTCGTGAGCTTGCCATTTTGCTCGCCAACTACGCCACTGTGATGGTCCACAAGGACACTCAGAAGGCTGAGGAGCTGTACAAGCAAGCTGTGGCCACTTGTCCGACAGAGGAAAATGTTTGTACCGCGGCCGCTTCCTTCTTTGTGTTGATGGCCAACTACACTGCTGGTCGGGCGTGCATTCAAGGCATGATCGATGCCGCCACTGATCGTACCACCCTTCCTCGTTTGTATGGAAAGTTGGCCTGGCTCGGTGTCGTCTGTTGGGATGAGTTGACATCAAATTTGCGTCATGAATGTTTGCAGCACCTGCTACTGGCGTTAGGTCTCGAGCCAGACAACCTCTTACGGATTCACACTGGCGCCCGGTCAAATATGTTGGATGAAGGCTCTGTTAGTGCAGAATTTAAGCAGAAGTTCCTTCGCGGTGTAACCCTATCGCAGGATAAGGACACTGTGAGCCTCGCTGGTTATATTGCACAGACCAAGTTGCCGCATGAGGGGAGGTTTATTAACGCGTGCTACAAAGCCGCGCTGGCCCGCTTTCCCACCAGTACGACCATCCTTGTGAACTACGCCAAATTCTGTGCGGACTATGGCGCCATGGCGCTTGCCCGAAAGTACTATGCGGCAGCGTTTAGTTGGTCACACAAGGATCCTAGAAGCAGCGAGTGCTACGCTGACTATCTTGCTTTTTTGAACGGGAAGGATCAGCAACCACAAGTAGTTGCGGGCGAAAGCCTTGTGCGATACCAGGTGGAGCGGGACGCCTATGAACCATGCGCGCCTTCCCAAGCGCAATCCCTCGCAGTATACGGCAAATATCTGGCGACGTGCATGCCGTCCCCGGTCGTTCCGGCGGAATCCTTTGAAGAAGCCATAAGGCGCAATCCGGCGGATGCCCGCGCGACGGCGTTGTACTGCTCTTTTCTCTGGAATGTATGCTCCCGGGCCTTGGACACGAAGTGCGCGCCCGAAGTAAAGCAGCAGATCGCTGCGAAGGCGGAGGCCCTTTACCAGAACGGCTTGAAGCACCAACCCCAGAGCCTCCTCTTGTTGACCGCTTTGGGGGCTTTGTACGTCGAGTTGGGCGACCGCTTTGAAGACGCCGTCCGTATTTTGGAACAGGCGCGCAAACAGAGTCCCCACAATGCGGCGGTAAATCGGCTTCTCTGCGCGGCGTTTCATGACGAGTGGGCGAAGGAGAGCGCGAGGCTCACAGTGAAACCCAGCGCCCGCCTGCAGGCACTTCAGGAGGCCACGCATCAACTGTACGAAGGGACTGCGGCAATGGAACCGGCCGATCGGCTGACATTGACGAGGTATTTCCAATTTGCCATGCACGGCCTTCAAAACAAGGAGCTGGCCGCACGAATCATGCGGCTGCTGCATGGGCTTCCGAAAGCGTAGGCGCACCGCGCTCCGCAGAGGCCTTTTTTGGTGACTTTTAGATGCGCTGTTTTTTCTTTTTTTTTTTTTGTTATTGTTACGCAGCCAGAATCTGTATCACCTGTTTGTTTGTTTGTTTTTTTGTCGTCGGCGGCGCGCTTGTACAGATGCACACTTGGTTCTCTTTTTTTCTGCGCTTCGCTTTGGCCGGGGCGCGCGCGCCCTCTCCCGGTTTTTTTTGTTTTTGCCAACCCCCGCCTGCGCTGAGAGAGGGCCCGCCTCGCCTCGATGCCTTTCTTTTCGTTCGTTCTTTCTTTCCCACCCCAAAGGGAAGAGGCGTATGGCGGCGGCGCGGGCCCGCGGGGCACCCCCACCCGCTTTTCTCCTGTGCGGCGGGGGCCCGGGGGAAAAAAGGAAGCGGGCCCCCTGCGGCGGGCCGGGTTTTGCTTTTGGTCGGGCGTCCTCTTCGCCCGTGCCGGCGCCAACATGGATTTATTTTGTGGGGCGCCTTTTATCTCGCCCCCTCCTTGCTTCGCGAGGCGGCGGGGGGCTGGGTTGGGTGAGCTTTTTAATCCCGCTCTTTGCGGCGGATTTTGCGTAGATAAAAAACCGAGGAAGTGTATAGATAAATATTTTTGCTAGATGAAAGAGGAAGGCCTACCCATTCGTTTAAATATGTTTGTGTCTTTTGCCGCACGAAACGCGAAGTTGTCATCATCTCGGGCATCTTTTGTTCCCGTTTTGTTGTGTACTTGTGTTTTTTGTTTTTGTTTTTTTCTTCAATGCCATGGCCTGAACTATTTTACGCTCACAGCTATTCTCCTATTCTAAGGTAGTATTGTGCTCATATTTACTTATTTATTTATTTATTGTTGTCAACCTTGAAGAAGGAAAAAAAAAAGTCAAGGTGAAAAAACAAAAATCTCTTACCTACAGCGAGCAAAAAAGTATGACACACAAAATCAAGGTAACCGGAACTGTCGTTGAACTGGACGGCGATGAAATGACTCGTGTGATCTGGAAAATGATCAAGGATGAGCTCATATTTCCGTTTATTGACGTTCCTATTGAGTACTATGACCTTGGCATGAAAAATCGCGACGAAACCGAGGATAAGGTCACCGTCGACTCTGCACATGCAATTCAGAAGCACGGAGTCGGCATAAAGTGTGCCACCATCACTCCAGATGAGGCTCGTGTGAAGGAATTCAATTTAAAGCAGATGTGGAAGAGTCCCAACGGCACAATTCGGAATATTTTAGGTGGTACAGTTTTTCGTGAGCCTATTATTTGCAAGAACATTCCTCGATTGGTCAAAACATGGACAAAGCCCATTGTTATTGGCCGTCATGCGTTTGGAGACCAATATCGTGCAACGGATTTGGTTGTAAATGAACCGGGGACATTTGAAATGCGCTTTGTACCTTCTGGTGGTGGTGGACCGCAGATTTACAAGGTGTTCGAATACAAATCTGGTGGTGTTATGATGGGAATGTATAATACCGACGAAAGTATTAAAGATTTCGCAAAGAGCTGTTTTGAGTACGCTCTTGCCAAGAAGTGGCCTTTGTATCTTTCTACCAAAAATACGATTTTGAAACGTTATGATGGCCGGTTCAAGGATATTTTTGCCGAAATGTACAAATCCACATATGAACCAACATTCAAGGCAAGCGGTATCTGGTACGAACATCGACTTATTGACGATATGGTTGCCTATGCCATGAAGAGTGACGGAGGCTATGTATGGGCATGCAAAAACTATGATGGTGATGTTCAATCTGACAGCGTTGCACAGGGATTTGGTTCTCTCGGACTCATGACGTCTGTTTTGATGTCACCAGATGGTCAAACTGTTGAAGCCGAGGCTGCCCATGGCACTGTGACCCGCCACTATCGCCAGCACCAAAAGGGTGAAGAGACGAGCACCAACCCAGTTGCTTCTATATTTGCCTGGACACGCGGCCTCATTCACCGCGGAAAACTTGACAATAATGAGAAACTCATTGACTTTGCGAAGTTGTTGGAGAAGGTGGTTGTTTCCACTATCGAAGCCGGTTTTATGACAAAGGACCTTGCAATTTGTATGAAGGGAGTGAATAATGTCCAGCGCACGGATTATCTTAATACACAAGACTTTGTTCATAAGCTTGCAGAAGAAATGAGAAAATCGTTTGAGACGAGCAAGATTTAGCCCACTCCTCCATTTTTCCCCCTTCTTGCAACCACATTGAAAGCGTATACCTTATACAATGCCAGCGTTTTTTTTTTCCAATTTGGTCAAAAATGTCTTACTCGACGGTGTTTTCGTTTGTTTGCCTCGTGCATGTTTATGTGCCTTTTCTTTCTCCCCCCCCCTCCCCCCCACCCTCTGGGGAGCGGTGGCACGATATGCCTCTGTTTGTGTCTCGAATGCAATTATTACGGAGGAACTGTTAAAGGGTCACATTGTTTTGCGTCTTTTTTGTTGTTTGCAGTGGTGCCGCCTGTTACGGCGGCGAACTTGATATATTTATGTTTATTTACATTTTTTCATGGATATTTTGCAAATATATTTTTGTTCTTTCTGTGTTCTGATCAGATATATATTTTTTAATCTATTTTTTGCTTTTTGTGCATATGAGTAGAAGATGTCGAAGTTTGATTTGGCAAAGTTTTGCTCTGGCATGCGAGATGCAGACCGCGACCTTAGAGAAATGGCGTTATTTGACTTGCAGCAGGCGTTAAGAGACCCCGACTTTCAATTTAATGAGATGGATGCCAATACCGTCACAGATTTGGTTTTGCGCTGTTTTTCAAAGGACGAGCCCGACAAGGAGGTCCGCAACAACGCGGTACAGATTCTTCCACAATTTATGCTTTTCTGTAATCAGCATCAACAGAGCAAAATGACACTATTTTTGTGCAGCTGTGCCACTTCCGAAGCAGCACAGCTGGGTGAGTGGGGATACTCTGATATTATTGACAGCTCCGCATTTTCTCTCAAATTGTGCTGTGAAATTATGGCGGATAGGGCCCGAGCAAATGTTGAGAGCTGGCAACAACTACTTCCTGTTGTACAAGATATCAACAGTGTTCTGGTGTCTAAATTAAGAGAAAGTAGTTTTAATGCGGTGAGGGATATCATCTATGACTCTGTTAATGCCCTTATTGATCCTTTCGGGCGCATCTATCCGTGTGAAATCCGAGATGCGATGGCGGAAGTTGCTATGCTGGATTTTCGTGGTGTGAGTCAACTGCGTCGTCGTGCCATTCACTGTCTTGCGTTGTTGGCTTCTTTGCTAAGTGAGGATAAATTTCGGATTCTTTGTACATTCGCGTTCGGGGGTTTGAGTGATGTCAGCTCTAGTTCAAGAGTTCTACCCCACTTGCAATTGTGTGAGTCTTTGGTGCGGAAGACGCCTCTTCGTGTAGCATCAGATGCGGCTGAAACAGCTAGCGCATTGTTGAGGGAAATAAAAAGGCGTACCGATCAATACAACTCGGAAGACGATGATGTGTGTGATTCTTTGTTGCGGTTGATGAACTGTATGGTATGTCAATATTCCAATGAATTATCACCATTGCATGATGCCATTTTTGAACAATGCGTCAATTTGATGAATTTTGATCCGAATTATTGTGGAGACGTGGAGGATGAAAATGCGTACGAGGATTATTATATTGAAGTGGAGGAGATAGATATGTCGTGGAAGTTGCGCAAGTGGTCTACCAAGGTGCTTTCTTCCTTGATGCAGAATACACCGTTTTTCAGCCGTCTGATCCAAGGTTTGAAACCGGAAGTTTTCGCCGCTGTACGTGATCGAGTGGAGGAAGTGCAACTCGGATGTCTTCAATTTATGAGCGTTCTCACGCAGCACTTGCAAAGCGGTGAAGCACCTTTGCTGGTGCTTGGGATGTTGAATGTTCTTTTGAGCTGTATAAGTGCTTCTAATCTGAAAGTGAGTGTTATGGCAGCAAAGTCCCTTCAGTTGCTTTTCGCTCATCACGGGGTAACTCTCACCAAAGAGGTTGCTCGTGTGCAACATGTCTTGACAAGTCTATTGTTTGAGAAAGGAAAAGAGAGAATTTCCTTGAAAACAGAAATCATTATGGTGGCCCAACATGTAATGGGATTCGCTTTGAAGGATTCGTTGAGTATTTCACTTGCTGTTGAGCTTTTACAAGGTGTTTTGAATACAATTGAGGTGTTCCGGTTTGACATTGTGAACGATCGCATTCTCCAGGCGATGAAGACAATGGCGTGCATTGCACAATTAGCGGGTGCTGGCTATACTGAGCGTTGTATGGAAGTATTGTTTCTCCTCATGGATTCAAAGCCATCGGACGCAGAAACATCTCGCGCTGCCGTCGAAGCTATTGGTCAGTGTTTCCCTATTCTTTATTCGGCGCTCTCTGAGAGTACAGTTCGTAAATGTTTGGAACGTGTAGTTTCACTCGCTGAGATAAATATGAACGCCGCTCAGGTTCTCTGCTCTATGCTGGACCACTGTGACGCGCTTCGGGTTCCGTATGATTTGCTGGATCATTTATGTAAGTGCGTTGTGAACCACGGGTGTTCGCATCAGCAATCATTGATTTGTGCTGTGCGTGATGCTCTCAAAAATGGTTCTGAGCTCACGGCTGAAGCTCTGAGTCGCGTGATAAAGTTTTCACAAGTAGATGGTCTAACAAGTAAAGAGCCTTTGTTTATACAGGGGATTTTTCAAATGTTGAATGAACTGTGCAATAAGCATCATCAGGTCGCAGAACGAGTGGTGGGAGAAGTACTTCCGGCTGTATGGAAGGCATTGCAAGCAGCATCACTTTCTTCAGCCTCGGTGCATGCTCGGGTTGTAGAAAGTGCAGCGTCACTTTTTCGTACACTCTATCTGCAGCTACCCCAGCATCGTTGCGCATTGGTAGAAGCTCTCTTGGAGCATATTTCTTCTTCCACGAGTCCGGACATTGCTAGTGATCTCTTGGGCGAAATTGCTCGCGAGGAGAATGCATTAATTGAAAATGTGGCTTCGGCCTTTGCAGCTAGTGAACCTATGGCTTGCCTTTGCGTGGGCACAATTGGTCGCTACCAGCCTTTGTCGGACGCTTGGAAAGCACGTATAGTTTCCGCTCTTACAAACTCGAGTTCGGATACGGCGCGTCGTTTCGGGTTCCTTGCGATGGGTCGTGCCGCGTCGTTTCCTCCCAACGTTTCTTTGCTTCATACTGCCGTTGAGCATGCGGTTACGGATGAGAACGACCGATATGTGTATTGGAGGGCTATCAAGGAAGTCACAGTGGTCGCGGCAGCGCAGCAATCATCTTCGCTGAGCGATCACTCTTTCTGCAAGAGTATCGAAACACGTCTGATAGAGAATGTGTTGGAGGATGATGCGGAGACAACAGCCGCTGTACTGGGCGGTTTTGCGCCGTTCAATTTCAATGATCTCTTGGGTATCACAGAAAGTTGCTTGACTGGTGGCTCAGAGGGACGGACAGCAGCGTGCATATCCACACAACGCTACTTACTGGCCCACTGCAAACACGAGAGTTGCTTGGTTCAACTGGACAACGCCATATCGGCTTCTCTCCAATACCTGAAACGCACTTCTGGTGTCCAGATTCGTCTTGCCGCCCTACAGTTATTTGCCACAGTCGTTTCTTTGAGGCCTCAACTTCTTCTTACGCCGATTATGCGAGATGCGGTGTATCCAGGCCTTCTTTCTGAACTTCTTGAGGATTCCAGCCTTGTTTTGACAATCAACCTTGGTGGATACACACATCGAGAGGATAGAGGTATAGAAATACGAAAGCTAGCGTTTGAGTGCATGTCCATTCTTCTTCGTGACAATGAACAGCAGTACACGGGAAGGGCAATTGGGTACTATGGTCGTCTTGAAGAGCTTCTTCATTGTCTTGTTCACGCCTCTGGTCCTCAGCAGAAGGGTGAAGTGGATGCCAGTTTGAACAACCAATCAAAGGCTCTCCTCGTGCAGTTAGTAAGAGTATGTCCCAAGTTACCGTGGAGTGAGTCCTTGATAACGGCACTGTGTGAGAAACTGAAAGCGGCTTTGGAAGCGAAAAATGAGGGTGCTTCTTCAGACGCTGAGAAAAACCGAACAGGAACGAGGCACACATTGAACTGCATTATGCGTCTTAGCGAGCATGTGCCGTTTACCTATATTCCCCAGTTTCAGCCGCTTCTATTATTGGCACAGCAATCCCCCTTGTTGACCGAGTCCCTGAGGCTGGTCATATAAAGGGGGAAAAGGTCGTTTTCCCATTTCACCGTATTGCAGATTGTCTGAGGTGCGAAAGGTGAGGAAACACGAGTCTGTGTCCTGTATCTGTTCTTCAACCATTTCCCCCCCTCACGCATATTTTTTTTTGTGTGTCTGCGTTCCTGTGAAAAGTATAGAAACTGGGACAATGCGTATGGGCCTGTTGCTCCGGTGCCTTCGGAAGGAACTTGCTCTTGTGGTGCCCACCGACGCTGGCTTGCTGGGAAAGCTTTTATGCCCAACTATTCAATCGTCCCAGCTGGCCTCTCTTGCAACCGAGACGGCAGCAGTGGTTCAGCGGTTAAATGGCCCTCAGACGGTCACCATTCTCGAGTTGTACTCACGGCACGGAGTTCGTCATGAGCAGCTGATGTTGGCCTGTATGTGGAATGTGTTCAAGGCAGATCTCCCAGTTTCATTCAGTAATCACAACAATGGTTTGATGCCGACCTTTGCAGTATGCACATCCACTACTTTTCGGCTTATGTGCCAGGAGGGATTCGTGCACGATCCACAGTTATTAGCGATTGCTTTGGGACGCTGTGTTGAATGCGCCCCATACATGTCGTTTAGTGGAGTCGTCGATGTCTATGAGGGTATCAGGCTGTTAGATCGGCAATACTTCAACCTCGCAGAGGTGGCGCTGCATGAGAATGAGACGGCTGGCCAACGCCCACATCTGGTTGGTGAAGAGTCCTCTCGTACCTTATCTAGTCAACCCAATGTTGTGGATGTTCTGTGCACTGAATTGGAGTCCCGTTTGCAGTCGAGTGTAGATGAGGGATGTGAACATACCCCCACAGACGTAGAGCGTCTCTTGCAGTCATTGGCAGTGGTGGGGCTAATGGATGCCAGAAGTCTTTCTGCCGTCTGTCAGACGATTGAGACAATGTCAGTGCCCATTGAATGTATGCTAGGCATGCTGACGAGCGTTCATAAAATTCATACACGTGTTATGGATGTTCTGGACCACGAAGGGGATGATGAGTATATGCAGACGGAACGGTCAGAACTTGTGAGGGTGTTGACAGATAAGCTGATGGCGCTGAACGTCTTTGGTGCTTCTCGCAGGTCAGACCCACAGCTTGTGCTAAGGTTCCGGCGTCTCTTCGAGAAGTACCCTGTGCTGGCGGAAAGCGCCCCGCAGTTGTGGGATGCTGTGCGCTGCATTCGTGTAGCGCATAAGCACGCGGCGTGCCAAACAGAGAAAAAGCACCGCCTCGGTGGGGCCCTGTTCAAAAGCGAATATGCCGTGAAGAAGAAGCCCATCATAGTCGACATTTCGGAGACGGAGAAGTACGTTCCACCGCAGTTTAAGACCTGGCGCGGCCCGAATGTGAATAGCCAGCGCCATAAGGGGCCGACTACCCCACGGAAGGTGGGTTTCGGCACACGTCGCGTGTCCAGAAACTACATCAAAATGAAACGGAAGAAGTTCGCCCCAGCCGTGTGGTGAGCTGCACTTTTTGGGCTCTCTATAGATTCCCGTGTGAGAGGCATTTGGAGTAAGAGGTGTCTGATTCAGTTTGTACTGTAATTTTTACTGTCGTTGCTTGCTATTGTTCTTGCTGGGTGCCCTCTTCGCCATTCTTTCTTGCGCACTCACCGCAGTTAGCAGGAATGCCTCCAAAGTCAATGGAGATTGACTTTGGTAGGCGCATTCGTGGCCCACGTGGCAGCAGCGGCGGCGTGGCACAGATTTTCACCAAGGACGATGGAGCGGGGGCACCGCCTCTTTCGTTGATCACAACAAATGCAGCTTCAAGGTCGCTTGCGCCCAAAGTGCTGCCACCCCTAACGCAAAGCTCGTATGCTCCCTTAGCAGTCTGGCCTTCGAAACACAAGCGTGCCACGGTAGGATCAAAAGCACCTTTAGCAGTGCAGCTGGAGGCGTTTGTTCGCAGGGAGCACCGGCTCTATTTGCGCGATCATCCTGAATGTGCGCATGCTGATACGTTGCACATAGTGAGGGAAGCATTCTCTGTTCTAATTGAACACTTTTTAGAGTACAGAGGAATCCTATCCTTCATCCGGGATGAGTACGAGGCGACATTCGATGAGGTTGCCCAGGAAGTAAAGCGCTTGCGAACTCTTAACCTTGAAAACGAGAGCGATCGTAGTCTCCATGTGATGGAGCTCATGCGACAACGCGAAAGTTTCACGACAATCATTAGTAATCAGCAGGCACAGCTGCGCGCGACTCAAGGGTTGGTTCACTCCCTCCGGGAGCAAGTGGCAGCTTACGAGCATTCCAACAGCACGCTCACTGCCCAATTGTCACAAAAGACGGAAGAGTGCAAGGAGGCTACACAGAGGTCTAAGATGCTAGCAAATGCCATGATTGAGGAAGCGTCTCGCAGTTCCCATTTCATGGAGATCCACAAAACAGATGAACGGGAGATAGGTCGGCTGGGCGTCCAGGTGAATTCTCTAAAGGAGAAGCTAGACGACGCGGATAAACGCTTTAATGTCCTTATGAAGCAAATGATGTTTGGCACTGCGCGTCCATTCAAGTGCGAGAAGACAGAAAAGAAGGACGCAGATAAGATCGCCCCCATCACCGACGATGAGACTAAGAGCGAGGGAAAAGAGCCCGATGTCTCTATTGCGGCTCTGCAACGCCGCATCGACGACTTGCTCTTTGCCTACGAGCGTCTCAAGCTAAGGACTGAGGAGGCGGAAAAGAAGAGTGTCTCGGGGCCGGGTGAAAGCGGCGTGCGGGAGAAGACGCCCGAGGAACGACACTCAGATACCTCTAACGCCGTAGCTTCGGTCACCTCGAGTGGGCTTATTCAGTCATGGCTGCTGCAGGAGAACCTCACAGAAGCTGAACTTGATGCGTATGACTATCTGCTGCCACCAGGGAACTTTGAAGAAGATCCACTTGCGTTCCTTAAGGTGTGCCGTCCTGTTCGGAATCTCCGTCTTAAGAAGGGCGAAGTGATCAGCATGCTCCGCAGTTTTTGGCTTTCTCGTCAGGCCCACCGCCAGGTATCGTTGCGTCACTACTTTCTCGACTGGCTTCGTCAACAGGCTGGGACAGCGAAGGCTGCGGAAGAGATTGGCGTCAATATGCTTCGCGTTTGTCAGCGAAACCATGAAGACCCCGAGTGCCGCGCCACGCTGCTTGCTCTCCACTTCTTCCTACCTGAGGACGTGATTGTTGCGTGGCAGAGGGATATTAGGGAGCTGGAAGAAGTGTGCCGTGACGCCCCGCGCACACTTGGGGGTATGACCGATAGTTCGCTCGTTGTTAATGCCTTGCGAACTACCATGCCTGATAAGAAATATGTGCACATGTTGCAGTTACGCCTCTATCTGTGGCGCATCAGTGAAGGAACAGGAAGGGTGTCTGTCGATCTGCTCTTCGACAAGGATAGTCATTTTGTGTGCATGCTGAAGAAACAACTTCTTTTTGAAGTGGAAGAGTTTACCCTTCAGGTTGTTGAGTCCATTCGGTCAGCCTCAGAGGATTCGAAGACGGTTCGACTTCAGGACATAACGAATATTATTAGTGCTCTGGACAGTGACATTCCAAAAGGAACATTGCACTGTCTTGTGGCAGAGGCAACTCTTTTGACCGCCATGGATGTTGCGACGGCGAGTGCGAGTTTCACTGTAAAGCTGCAGCCTGTTTTGCACCGATTCAGGAGCTCAGTCTTGTTGAGGAGAACAACACCTTCGCTAGGAGATAATATAGAATCTGATCTGACAACGTGTGATGATGGCGCTGCGGAGGACAAGCCGCCTACTGTTTCGGTGGACGCTTCTAGTTGATTTAATACTTCGTCATAGTTCTTGTGCCCACCGAACTGCGAGATGGATGTTTGGTGGGGGGTGGTAATCATGTAAATGAAAGGGTGCGCAGTGGGTAGGACACCCGCCTTTTTCAACTGTTGCATGCAAGTGGTGCTTTTGTTCTCTTGTGTGCATCTTGTACGACGCTGTCATTGTTCTGTTGCCTGGAAGCAGAGTGAGTCTTCATTTCTTGCCTTTTTTTTTGCTGTGTGGTTGTGCGGCGGCCACCATCGCCATCTCCTTGGAACACAAAAAAAAAATCACACATACACACATATACAGAGAGAAGCAAATGTGTGCTGTACAATTATTTTATTTGAAATGCTTTTGACAGACCAATTTGTGCCTCTGTTTATTTTTGTCCCTGCTTGGTGTTTGCATAGTCGCATCGTTCCTATTCGGTCTTGTGTATTTCCTCTTCCATGTTGTGGCTGTGTGTATATAGGTATGGCAATGCCTCAAGTGATGAGCCACTTGTTCTCTGTCCTGATGTGCGTGGTAGCTGCGGTTTCTGCAGAGGGGTTGGACAACACCATAACCATCACCCGCACTGCCACGCCCACCATCACCGTGGAGCTGCCTTCAGGCAGCCGCACCGTTACGCCCACCATGAGCACCAGTCTGTCCACAACCGAGAGTAGTGCGGGGTCTGAAAGCAAGCACACTGTCACACCCGAAATCACACTGACGCCGGAGGAGATGTGGGTGGACGTCTACTTTGAGGTCGACAGTAACTCCCTCACCCCAGAGGCGTTAGTGGCGCTGCTTCGCAGGGTACTCTGGAACAATACAGAGGTGGAAATGAAGAGCCATATCGATGTACAATTTCCGTGGATTCACCTCTCCTTCTTCTCTGACCTTCGGGCCGATGAGGCGGTGTCGGCAGCAAACGCAGGGGAACTGCAGGGCGTGCTGAGCGCGACGTACAAGATTCCTGTCCAACCGCCGGGCGACAATGGCAATGATTTTCCTGTTGTTACTGTTGTCGTTGTCGTTGTGGTAGTGGTTGTCGTGCTCGTTGTGGCTGCAGTCCTTGTGTACTGTGTATTATTCCAAAAGAAAAACACGCATCGGCGACGCTATGACGAAGACTACGCCATGAACTGCGCGACAGCGCCGGTGGACCTAAACGAGGTTCTTTTGACACGGGTCGATACTGACTTCACCGAGATTGGAGATGGCATATCCAATATGAAGTATTATCAAAAACGACCGAGTTTGTAGTATATTTATTTTTAGTGTTATTGTTATTTTTATGATTCCTTCCTACTACAGCGTGCCATTCAATAGAGTTCCCATGCTTTTTCGTTGCTGTTGTGTTTTTCTACCGGTTGTGAGGCGATGCTTTTTGAGATAATGTGCTCAGATGCTTTATCGTCCGTTCTGTATCTGCTCCCCGACACCCCTAAATCAGTACTGTTCTTGTTAGAGGGGTATTCTTTTTCCTTCCGTCCATATCGTGGTACTACTACTGTCCTTCGCTGCTCTTGAGAGGGAGGTGTGTGGATTGGGGAGAGAACATCTCTTGTGGGTGAGGGGGCGTGAAAGACTTCAACACTCTTTCTCTTTCTATTTCCTTCATGTCTCCTGTGGGGTGGCAACAACAAACAAAAAGGTACTCGAGACATCGGAGGTTGTGGAGCGGTTGTGCACACATGAGGCGCGGTGTGGCGCTGCTGTGCTCCCCTGCTCTATCGTCATCACCGGCAGCGGTAGCGGCAGCAACAACGGCCGGTGCTCTATGTGCTTTCACCGGCAAGCGAGTGACGGACTTGGAGGCGCACAACTGTGCCTTCGACATGCGTCTCTTCAATCTCCTCAAGGAGCGTCTCACCTCCCCAACGGAGCCGCTGCCAGCGAACCAAATCTACGCGACCATTGCCAACCCATGCCGCCTCATTGATGAATTCGCCTGCGCCAAAACGACGCGACGACTGAGTCGGCTGCGAACTGCCCTGGGATTTCTGCGGCGCCACAACGTGCTTTTGCATAGTCTTCTGTTCTACGCCAAGGAAACACAATCGTGGAACACAACACCGGAGTTTGGGCGGCTCGCTTTGTTCGGGGAGAGTCTACTAAGGCACGAAGTCCGCGCACGTACACTACGTTTGTTTCCTTCCATAGACTCCGTTATGTACGCGTCATTGACCGCTGCAATGGTGAGCGAGGAAGCACTAGGTACACTTTTTGATCGACTACTAATGAAGTCTCTTGTTGGGGTCAAGCCGGAAGGCAAGGATCGTGACTGGTCCCTGACTGCGCAGCAGCGCAGCAACATGTTGTGCGCTATGGTGGGTGAGATGAGCTGGTTCGCCTCGCGGACAAAGGCCACGGACAGGACACACAACAATGCACTTTTTCCACCTTCCGATGCTCTCATTCTTCACGTGTTGTGCTGCCATCTGTTGGAAAGTCTCCCTGCGGAGCTGATCTACGCCTTTGTGGAACCGTGTGTTCGTCGCATAAAGGAGGTGTGGGTGAATGAGCCCATGTCCATCCCGCAGCAGTTGCACTTGAAACCGAGAACGATTGGTGCGTTGTCTTTGTCACTATTACAGAGGCCCATGAGCGAGGAGGAGAAACTCCGCAAGACCAAGGCTCAGACCGCCACTGTATGCCAGCCGTCTCTCACACCTGAGTGTCTTGGAAGCATTCGATCGACGATGAGGCCGCGGTGGAACTATAAACGTTTTGATGAGCCGCGATATCAAATACTGGAGGGGGATAGACGCTGTGTCGTGGCATTGAGGTCGTTACCCACTTCCCGAAAAATGGAAGGACCTTCTGCTGCTGCTGCTGCTGATGTTGTGGTGTTGACGGATGAGCGACGGAAGGAATTGGCTTCTGCGGCGCTGGAACGAGCACAGTAGCGCGTCGTGGCATTTCGGCCAGTATCAACTCTTGAACGGCTTTGGAAGAAGAGCAGTGGGATTTTTTCCTTGTAGCCCCCCCCCCCCTNTTTTTTTTTCTTTCTTTCATGGAAGGAAATTCTCGTGTAGTCCCCTATGTTTTTCGGTTTCTCGTGTTTATGGTGCTTATATTTCCCGTTGTTTTTTCGTATTTTTTGAAATGTTTCCTATTGTTTACACAGCAGCAGTTTCTTCCTTTTATTTACTGCAGCGCTCTGGAGGATGCTGGACACACATGCGTCGCCAGAACGACCCGTGTCACCTGTCAGCTCCGCTTCGACGGCGGAGGTAACAGCAGGGCACGACGTCTCGACAATTAATCGCACGCTGGACGCCTCTTCCATCCACGACGATGGGATCCTAATGGACTTCGGCTCAAAGCATTGGATTCGCGTGACGCAGTTGGATCCAAACACAACAGGAAAGGCTCTCAGGTGTATGTTTTACCCATACGGTGGCGATGAGGCGTTTGTTCTGTGGGAGGAGGGCGTGATGGGCTATGTTGGCTTTGAGAACAGGTGCATGGCCGACCTGGCAGTGGAGAAGATGGATGCCTTTATCCCTTGCCGTCAATCACAGGCCCTTTGCGTGGCACACGTGTCACTGGAGGAAGTTCTCTTTGCAAAGAGTGCAGCCCCTCTCTGGGGCCAAAAGGGCCTGACATCGTTGTTGTATTCTGGCTGTCCCGCCCACTTTATTGCACAGGCCATCGAGTCGCACCGGCAGCCATGCCAGTGTGCTGCTGAGGTAGTGGAGGAAGTGCGGCGAGCACCACGTTCGATGATGTCGCGCGTTCTGGCTGCTGTGGCAAAGCTGCGGCAGAACTGGGTCTCGTTAGAGGAGTTCCGAGAAGCCCTCGTCCGACATTTGCTACGGCAAATAGTCGAGGATGAACCCACAGACCCCAAAGCAAATTGTGGCACCCTGTTAGGCGAACTCTTTGTTATGGGGTTCCTGACTGGAGACCCGTTCCATCTGGCCTCTCGCATTCTCCAGCGTGGAGTGCACAGCACGGTTCAGATTGACAGCGTCTGCGCCATTGCGCATGCCTGCGCCTCCATGCCCGTCCCAATATCAAAGGCGTCCTTCTGGGCTTTGGTGGGGCAGGCGTCCCTGCAAGTGGCGGACCCACTTCGTGCTGACCTGCGTGCACACCTGCGACAATTTCAGCACAGCACTGAGCTCTTCTCCCCGGCCCCATCTGTCACGCCAAAAAATGATTTATCGCTCAACAGGACAAACAAATCTCGTCATCTCTTGCCTGAGTCAAAATCGCGTACGGTGTATGTGTCGCACCTTCCACCACTCCTGCCGCAGGAGACATTCATGAACCTCTTTATGATGTGCGGAACGGTAAGCAAGGTCCGTATGTGTCGTGGCAACGGGTACGCGACGCTATTTGCCTTTGTCGAAATGTCCACTCCCGATGAGGCAAAGGCGACGTTGCGTCTTTGCCGAATGAATCTCATGGGGTGTAACATTCGGGTGCAGATAGCACGCAACCCAATTCAGGACGCACAAGCCGAAGACGCACTCGTTGAGCCCAACAGCGCCATCATACATGGGTGTCTGTTCGGGCAGAATGGAGGAACCTTGGCGGACGCCGCAGAAGCCGGCGGGAAAAGTGCTGGTAGGTGAAACTCCACCAACAGCTGAAAGAGCATAAAATACCATAGAGTATAGGGGTACAGAACTACCCAATTTTATAGATGGACAGCGTGTACGCTTTTCTCTCGAGAATTTCCTTTCTGTTCCCGTTTACTTCCGTTATTTTGTGTTTTATTTTTCACTGGTGAACCGGGTACTGTATATATATACATATATATATATATATATATGCATTGTGTGTGCCGTCTCAGATAGAACTTCATTATCATCATATTCATCACCTTGATGATTATGCCTGTTAGCGTCATAACATCATCATCATCATCATCATCATCATTCAACACGTTTCACAACGAGGACGTGGTGGACTGGCGCATGACTCCCAATTGGCCGTCAGTGTTACCTTTGTTATCAGTATTTTCACACCCCAAGTTCTTGTATTTTCGGAAGGAATAGGGAGAAATATAAGACAGATGAAAATGATAATTTTTGTCAGTCAAGAGAAAAGGAAAACAACAAAAAAAGCAAAAAAAGAACTAAAATTCGGTTTTGTTTTAGAACTGCTGATTTCCTCAGCATGTCAAACTTTGTGTGACCGCATGACTGCGATAGAAATGTGACGTTTGCTGAATTGCTGCGTTTACATTTGGTAAACCTTTCTTCTTCTCCCCATTGTTTCGGATATTGTGCGAAGGCACAATTGGTGGTAGGATGCTCAGGGTTCCAGCACTGTGGGCCTGCGCATCTTCCTCGGTGGCACTCGTGCAGGTGAACGAGGGTGCCGTAGCGATTTGTTGCGTCGTCGCCCTACCGTGCGATGCCGTGTCCTGGGAATTCGAGTGCGCTATCACTATTAGTGCGAAGTCTGCCGCGGTGCTCACTGCGCAAGACTTCTCTCGCGTGGAGACGCGTAAGGTATTCTTCTTGAGTGGGCCGTCGTCAAGAAAGCAACGCTTCATTGAAGCACCGTTTGGTACCACCGGGGCATCGGACACTCTTAGCATTTGGACACCGCACCACACGTACGTGGCAAAGACGGTTCTTCTAGAAGGGCTCCGTGTAAGTTTTCGGGGATCGCAGGATCGTCTTTTTGCAAGCATGGTTGGCCGCTACGTCGTTGTCGGTTGCGAAGTGGAAACAGACGATGGGATCTACCATGTGAAGTCGGTTGAGCTTCAAAGTGGTTACCGTGGTCTGGCGCTTGTGTGTGCAACGACGCGTGTGAAGCTCAACCATAGGCCTGCCCTATCTAGTCAGAAGCCTGCCGTGCTCGTTGGTCTGAAAGATCAGGCGTGCGAAGTGGGTGCGATTTTGAGGGCTATGGAGAAGCGCCCCGGCAGTTGGATCGGCGTGGCTGTGGATGCCCCACGTGGATGTGGGGCGATGACGCTGATTAAGCAGTGTGCGGCTGAGATCCACGCAGTACTGGTGCGCTGGTCCCCAACAACTATTTGGGACCGGCTGGAAGAGCTGTGGGGCGCGCGTCTTGTGGTGCTGTGCATTCCATCAATGAATGTTATTTTTCCACCATCCGAAGACGCGCTGGCGAAACTGACGGCACGGGTTTTGCTTCGAGACATCGACCGCTTGGTCGGAGAGCGCAATGGAACAAGAGCCGCGGTGGTGTTGGTCGGCATCACCGACAGTGGCGTCTCCGACGCGGTAAGCGCGTTATTCTCCGTAAAGGTGACAGTGGAGCTTCCAGATGTCTACACCCGGGCCGCCCTTTTGGCTCAGGTGCGCGGCGGTGAGAAGGAGAACTACATGAATGAGGCACACACGCTCGTGGGACACACCAGTGCTGCTGTTCTTGAATTCGCACGGGGTCCCTCGCGTGTGCACAAACCGCCTATCAAGCCGCTGCTATGGTCCGAAATTGGGGGTCTTGACGATGTGAAAGAACGTCTGCGCCGTGCGTTGATTCTTCCCCGACTCCAACCTGAGGCATTCGCGCGATTTGGTGTTGTTCCTCCCCGGGGGATTTTGCTATACGGTCCGCCAGGGTGCGCCAAGACGAGCCTGGTAAAGGCGCTATGCTCGGAAGGCTGCTTCTCCTTCATCTACCTGGACTCCGCCACACTAATCAGTGCATACGTGGGGGAATCGGAGAGGCAGTTGCGAGATGTCTTTAGAAAGGCTGCAAGGCAGACGCCGTGCATTGTCTTTTTTGACGAGGTGGAGGTGTTGGGCGGCAAGAGAGGGGCGGGGTCCCACGACGGCGATCAGGCGCGTCTGCTCTCAACATTACTGACCGAGATGGACGGATTCATCGGGTCTAGTGGAGTTTGCTTCGTGGGCGCCACCAACACACCGCATCTTCTTGACAGCGCCCTGCTGCGTCCAGGTCGCTTTGACTACTTGGTGTATATTCCTCTCCCGCCACGGGATGACCGCAGGGAGATTCTTGCCCTCACACTCGCCGGCACGGCGGCGGATGTCGACGCGCTGGCGGACGCTACCGAAGGATTCAGTGGTGCCGACCTCACATCGCTTACCTCAGGGGTTCTACTGGAACTGCTGGAAGGGTCGGAGGAAGGCATCGCCCCAAGCTGTCTCAATGACGCTGTAGCCCTAACCGATATTCTTCAAGCTCGTATAAGGACGTTTCATAAGACGGCGTACGATGTCGCGGCACTTGAAGAGTTTCACAAGGATTGCTCTTCCTTTGGCAGCTCAATGTGACTGTACATGGAGTGAAAGGCTGTTATTTTTGTGCACGCGTGTGTGTGTGTGTGTGTGGGCGCATCTATGTGGCGGATCCCCCTAGGCTGTCTGGAGAGCTCCGGTTATGCTGTTCTTATCATCTTCGTTGTTTTTATTTTCCTTCCTTTTTGGGTTTCTCGGAACAAAAAGGTGTTGTTTCTCGATGGATGTAACAGATCGGATATACCTAGATAAGGAGTTAGTCCGTTGTAAAACGGTACATATGCCTCATCTGATGATGTCTACTGCTGTGCCGGCGAAGCTGAAGGGGTTTAGCATGCAGTTCACTTGTACAGAGATGCTTCATTGGGACGAATACCGTGAGGTGTATGGAGTGCCAGACAACACGGGCAAAATGATGGAGATTTTTGCGACCAAGGTGGAGGCACTGTTCAGCGGGCACATGTTCACCAGCCAGAACGCGATTGTAACGGCGTGCTCTGTCGCTTTGGACCCAGCATTGAGTGGGTCCACTGTGCAGAACTTTTGTTCCGAGATGCAACATTGGGACGACTACAGAGAAGGGAATAAAATTGTGGACGGTGTTCAATCGATGAGGGAGATTTTCTATCCCAGGTGTTTTGCCGGGTACGATATCTATGTCCTCGATACTAAGAAAAAACTTCGAGCGTGGAAGGTAATGTGTCTCACAGCCACACGTGATACGTACGACAATGACTGGCAGCCTCTGTGCACGGAGATGATCCACTGGGATGACTGCCAAGAATCGTCTGGCGTGGAACCAAATCCAAGGCTGGGAATCCTCTTTGGAAAGCGGTGAACCAGAAGTGTCTGCATGTGGGAAAGTAGCCATTTAGAATGGTTGCTGGCTTTCATTCCCTCAGCTTGTTACATCGGGCTTTCCCCCCATTTTTTCTTTTTTTTTTTGCTTGAAAGGTTTAGATTTGTGATTTAGTGGTTCCTGATGAACTCGGGATTTGGAGGTGGTGGTTTTGTCCAACAGAACCAGGTTGGGTCTGGCGGCTTCGGCCAAGCAGCAGGTGGCGGCTTTGGCCAACCTGCAGCAGGAGGCTTCGGCCAACAGAACACTGGTTTTGGCCAACAGAACACTGGCTTCGGCCAACCTACCCAGGGTGCTGGTGGCTTTGGCCAACCTACCCAGGGTGCTGGTGGATTTGGTCAACCTACTCAAGGGGCTGCCGGCTTCGGTCAGCAGAATACTGGTTTTGGGCAGCAAGCAGCAGGAGGATTTGGCCAAGCAGCAGGTGCCACTGGCGCATATGGTCAACAGGGAGCAGGTGGTTTTGGCCAGACAGGTGGCGCAAACGCTGCTGGATTTGGTCAGCAGAATACTGGTTTTGGCCAGCAAGCAGCAGGAGGATTTGGCCAAGGAGGTGCCACTGGCGCATTTGGTCAACAGGGCCCAGGTGGTTTTGGCCAGGCTGGCCGAGGCGCGACAGGTGGTTTTGGTCAAGGAGGTGCCACTGGCGCATTTGGTCAACAGGGAGCAGGTGGCTTCGGACAGGCTGGCCGAGGCACGGTAGGAGGTTTCGGACAACAGGCCACAGGAACGAGTGCATTTGGACAAGCAGGTGCAGTTGGCGGAGGCTTTGGCCAGCAGACAACAGGAACAGGAGGTTTTGGACAAGCAGGTGCAGCTGGCGGAGGCTTTGGTCAACAAGCAGGTGGTATCAGCCAGGCAGGCCGTGGAGCCACTGGAGGCTTTGGTCAGACTAACACTGGTTTCAGCCAGCAAACAGGTGGTGGCTTTGGTCAGGCAGGTACCGCTGGCGCATTTGGTCAACAGGGCCCAGGTGGCTTCGGACAGGCTGGCCGAGGCACGGCAGGTGGTTTTGGTCAACAAGCCACAGGAACAGGTGGTTTTGGGCAGGCAGGTGCAGCTGGTGGAGGCTTTGGCCAGCAAGCCACAGGAACAGGTGGTTTTGGCCAGGCAGGTGCAGCTGGTGGAGGCTTTGG